TTTCCTCTCCTATTCTGCATCCCAATGGGCAGCCAAAAGACAGCAACCAAAACCGGCGCACGAAAGTGCATGGTTAATGGTTGTTCAAACTGAACTGAACTGAATAATAATTGTCGCATTTCCACGTTCGGATCACATTTTATGCGTGAATAGCAGCTCACTACTCCTCAGTAGGTAATACAGTTTTGCAGTTAATTTTGCCTACGTAGGTTTTCATGTGACCCGTCCTTTTATTCCAACTGTATGCTGTATAATCTAGCTTCAGCTGGTTCTCTCAAACTGATGTTCAGATAGCACGGGATACAGATTTCCATCTAATGGCCTTTGGTCGAGTTTCGAACCAACGCATGATTGTTACTGGAAACATTTTCCGAATATTCCACTCCCACATCATTACAATTCCGTTATAAATAAGTGGTACGGGATGGTTTTCGCAAAATACATTGTACTCCTCTGAGTGATCTGAGACAAAGTCTACAACATTGGATTCCCCCACTTTGGACAGTACGGAAAAGGGAGTCTCATGCCAGTAGTGGGTCGAGTCGATACACAAACAGCTTCTGTAAACAGACGATGTAACTTCTTACTTCCACGATTGCAGAAGCATGTTGTAATATCCCGCCTAATGACTCAAAATGTGACTGTCAAGCTGCTAACGTTGATCAACCCTGGTTCCATTGATTGTGATTGTAAATGTTTGTTCAATCATTGAACTTTTTCTCCTATGTTTGATCGTCAGATTTTAGTGATCGAAATCATGCGTTCGCTGTTGTTGCTTATTCGAAATCTAATTAATTTTTGGGTCGACCGAGTTTGTGCTAAAATCTTTATTTAACTTGAAACCCAACACAAACAGTGTTTAGTGGCATCATTACTAACATTCAGAAATTTCAACTGCGGTAATTAGGATACCGTTTGTTTATGGGAGGGGAGGGATATCTACTTGGTTTTCCAAACGAAGCTCTCATAGGTCGACACAGTGAGTAGGAAGCTTCGTGTATTTCTCGTTTTACTCAGTCTCGCGTTCTACGTTACAGACCAAACTGCAACAAGCCGAAGAGGAAGCCTCGTCCGCTCGTAATGAAGTGACAAATTTGCAGAAGCGGATTGTAACTTTACAGTCCGATCTTGACAATGTCGAATCTGTTCAGGCTGATTTTGTCCGACTGTCTCAGAATCTACAAGTGAGTGCGTGTTCATCACCAGGTTGTTGATGGCCATTTGGTTATTGGAATACTCAGTCCTGATGTGTGACTAGGTCATTCGAGGCTCTTATCATGTTTCCGTGAGCGGTTTTATATTTGCTTCATTCTTTACCCGTCCCTAACGCCTTTTTCTGTTTATTTCACTCTGAACCGAATGGTCCAGCTGGTTCACTGCCCATATGTTCCCTCCCATAATGCGTCCGCACTTCACGTGTACCGCACATGCCTGTTTCTACTTTCAACCTTCCAATCTTCTAACCCCTCATCCAAATGGACAGCCAAAGGACAGTGATCAAATCCGCCGACTGAAAGTTAAAGGTCAACAGTTCAACTAACTGATGATGATGATATATATATATATAACGAGTACACTCAAAGGGGCCAACTCGTATGGCGTAATACAATGTTAAATTGATGGGCATTCATTGATTGGGTTCAACAAGCACATCGTGTACAGTCAGATTAGTGCAATTCATTGGGATATTGCTTATGTTTCAGAATACTACCCGCCTAAATTGTATGAAAAGAATGTTTCTCCAGTAATAAGGGTTAGTCAGGATATTTTCACAACAGTTCAACTACATCAAAATTCGCCAGAAAGATACTGGTCAAATAAATATATCCGAACAGCCGTCTGTTTAAAATAATTCTTATAAGAGATGTTGTCAAGGATCCGTCGGTCATAGAGACTGTAGCAGAGCACAACTTGGTAGTGGTCCAGCCGTCTCTTGGTGTGTGCACCCGCGGAGAAATAGTAGCACAATTCAGCGAGGTGACTATCGATTATTATTGAACCGGGCATCTTCATGATTTTGGTAGCATGATGCTCTGATGATCACAACTTTCCTAAGCAAAACTGGTTTCGGTTTATTTCCCCCTCTATTACTAATGAACAGGATCTTAGGGGAAAAACTGTCATTGAGCAATCATTAGTCTCATCTGTAACCGCATCAACGAGAAATAAGCGAATAACGGGACTTTTCTTTCCTCCTCTCGATCGATTGAATTGATTCCTGCTTAATGGCTGGGCACCCTAGCAGTTCCCGTCCATCAAACCCCAATGCAAATGCATTGCGAGTTTGGCAACAACCAGTAGAGTTCGCTTCCCTGTATTTCGCTGTGCGATGATGATGATAAAATCGATATCGATCAATAGCTTAGTGGTTGGGTTGCCGTATCTCTGCAGGTTTGTTTGCATCGAGCTTTAGCTTTCACCTTGTTCGTTTCGAATCGCCTTTATGATTGTCTCGGGCAAACATTCCGTACACAACATTTGCAGGAACTCCTTTGTGATTCTCGTGCTCTGTAGTCCCTGTCTAATGATCAGATTACGGTTGGATGACATCAGTAATATTTCAATATCAGACCATTATCTTCCTTTGCCTGTTCCCATCAGTGAACCATAATGAAAACTCTGATATTAAAAATGAATGCGAATGCCTAATGCGAACATTACTGGTCGGGTGATATAGGTCATCGATTAATCGGCCTGGGGATCATGTTTTCGATTGTCGTCACCACCCCAACGCTCCACTACATCCCGCGGTAGCTGTTTGGCTGATCGCCTCCTTCAAATGTGAATATGTCATTTTTGTTCAAGGAA